CTCTGCCTCAGCCAATCCGCTCTCAGCATTAAAAAGTGTCCAATAGTGACTCACAGGGCTCTTTCTTACAAGTATACACTATATAAAATGTTTTCTAATGAGATGGATAGAGCATATTGTGGTCTGATTTGTCTAAAAAAATGTAAGTTGTGGCAACAAAGTATGAAAAGTATTTTTTTTTTTAAATCTCTCTTAAGTGACATGGAGGCAACGTTCATTCCACCAGTAAAGTAGATGCTTATATGTGTGATTTTGCTATTGTAACTACAGTGTTCCCTCGGAGAGCACATACTCCCGCCAAAGCCACAGTTGATAACCAAGATTTTAATGGGGCCTTCCTACCATTACATCAAATCTGCACACCACATTTCAGCTCAATCTGTCTAGTAGCTGTTGCACAATCTTGCCGACAGACAAGCAGACAGACAAATACACACACACACACACACACACACACACACACACAGGCAGGCTATCACATTACCCCTTGACAAGCTTCTAACAACATTAAGTATTTACTAGATTATAGTGCAATCCTCCATTCCAGGTTTGAGTGCAGGTGTAATCTGCATACTGCTTTCAAAGTTAACCTCGGCCAGGCTACTACAGTGTATGCAGCTCTCAATGTTGTTTTTATTGCTTCTTGCATGTAGACTTTAGAACGCTTAGTTCAGCTATCCTGATTCCCACTGCATGTCTGCTCTCTGTAAACACACACGAGCGAGACCACTTCATACAATATGTGTCACTCAAAGCGTACCCTCCGAAAGACCTCTATTCCCTATTCAAAATCCCACTTGAGATTACCTGGCAACTTTTAAAACATAATTACAAAACAATCGCCACGGGAGGACGATATGAAGAGAGGTTCTAAAAACAAAAACACAAGAAAAAAGAAGGTGCAGACAAGTGAGGGTATAGGTTAAATATGTGCAAAAATACACTTTATAGTCACCTTCGAAAGGGCATATGCGCCGTGGGACCGAGCTAGAAAACGGTTAAACATCTAATAAAGACTTGCTTCGATAAAAGAGGGACTTTTATGAGCGCTGGCATAATCTCTATTGGCAAGGTCCACACTCTTTCCAAAAGTGACACAATTTACGGCCCAAACCCCTATACTGATATGCATTCATAAGGAGAGCACTCAAATTAGCTTTAGCACAACTTAGGGCAATTTAAAGCGTGGTTGTATATCTGGCTGGTCTAATTAACTGCAAATTAACTAATGAATCACATTGGCAAAAGAAACCAATAAACATATTAATCATTGCTTAATAACTGTGTATCTATAGTTCCAAGATGTGTAATGAAAATGAAAGTTATTGAGTTGAAGGAGCGGTATAGAGGGGAAAATACCATAGTTATTATACAGGGCTATAGGGGGCTATTGATTTTGTGGCAATGGTGCGACACATGAGTTGGTTAACTTATAGGAACAAATGATTACAGCAGAAAGGACGAAGCACCTCGACTTATAATGGAATCGCCAGCAGGGGTTCCAGGCACTTAGAAGTACTGTAACTGCAAGGTATTGAATTCACAAAGTCAACTTCAACTGCATTTTATTTTGAAAGAAGACATTTTCATGTCTGTATCATGTACCTCTTAGCACCCGCCTCATTTTGGCTTGTCCACAAAAGTTGGGCATACCCAAATGTCTTTGCTTATTTAAAAAAACATCTTACACGTCACTTGCTTGTATGATGCATCATATTAAAGCTAGAGCCTTCTAGTTTATGTAAAAATACACTAAAATAATGTTTGTCATTTCTATTTCACTCTGCATCCTTTGAAGTTTGGGAAAAAAAACCTATTTTTTTTGCCTCGCCTAAAATTTTCAATTTCTAAAGGCCTTAAAAAAGGCATACTTCATTGTAAGTTCACAATATTCAAACCTTATGGTCATTGTGTTGTTGTAAACAACTGTGTAAAGTTTCAGACTTCTAAGTTTTATAGTTTTTATGCAGTTTCTCTTTTTCATCAAGTAGTGCCATTCGGAACCAATTTGGCACACTTTGTGCCAAATTGTGCAACATTGCTTTACTGATATTTCATCATCATAAAAAACATATTTTTAATTTTTGGTATTTATAAGTTACTAATCTATGTGATTTAAAAAAAAAAATCCAAAACAATTTTTTTGTGAGTGTAAATTCATATAATATATGCGCTGCTCGAGAGCGATCTCTGTCCCTGCCGTTGCACACGCTTGTACTGACACAAATAAACACAGCACCCACATGTCCCACCCCTTGCTAGAAAGCTTTCTTTATTGGCTACACGGACATGTCAATCATTTGGCCGAAGAGCACTTCCGTAGCCAGCTGGCTTTTGGGGGGGGAAAAAAAATGTGGAAATTAATGGGATAAAGGGGGGAGGGTTTAGATAGGGTTAGACTAAAAAAATCAATAAAGACATAACAATGAATAATGATAATAATAGCACTAAAAATAATTATATATTGTAATCATTGGGGAAAAAAAACTTTCATTCAGATAGAAAGGCTATCACGAAGAAGAGCAAAAAACTAGATCCAGATTTTTCCACCTACAAAAACAGGAACAAAACAAACTACTACTTATAGTGATAACATGCTTAAATAATTCACTTGAATCAAGGTGGATAGAAACTATAAATAATGCAAATCCATTCACCGCTATACTTCTCACAGCATTACCACAACACGCCGTAATTTATGTGCATCCACAAAAGCCTTGTAAAGATCAGGCAAATACGTATCTTCCTTTGTGTATTAATCATATCTCCAAACTCTCCATAACAAACTTAGTGTAGTGGCAAAGCTAAGTTAAACCCAGAGTGGCTTGTTAGGTGTTTCTGACAAGTGTGGATGGGTAGCGCAGTCTGTGAGCACTAATCTTCACGTTATCGGACCGGACACTGTGTCAATAATAGATGATGGCGCTCCCTTCCCCCGCAGCGCTATAAACTCCCACTGAGAAGTCCAGGGTTTGTTCTGCCAATCAGCTTTAGACACTGGCTCCGTGAGTCAGTCTGATTAAAGTTATTGTAGGGTGTGGGATGAATGTGCATGCCCTGTGGTGGTTATTACAGCAGAAAACACATCCAGAACTGCCAGTATGAGTACTGGTCTTGGAGTTTTTAAAAATACTTTCTCCACACACTTCTGCCGGATTGAAGAAAAAGTTTGGCATGTGATATATAGCAAAGAAAATAATGATTAAATTTGCATCTACATCTACAGAGATTAACCGCTCCTATGTTTTTAGAGTAGTGTATCTTAACCCATTAGTGTTAAAAGGGGGCATAACCTAAAACTTTTATACGTTAAAGTTATTTTATAAATAGACACACAGCTTTCAAAAGTTAATTTTGTCTTCTTGTGTTTAAAGTAGCAATATGTAAGATTTTCATGTCAAGTCATCCTTAAATTCTTATTTAACTGATAACAGTAGTTTCAAAATTAATTTTACGGACCCTTAATCTTGTTATTGTTTTCATTTCGAGGTACGGCCCTCCACTCAGAAAGTCCATAATCCGGGTTGCCAGAACTCCCCGCGTCAAGCTAATCTCACTGGTTAAGTAACATGTGGCCGCTGTACTAAAAATGGTCTTGTTATAATTCAATCTGGAGAGACTTTGAGGAGACAAAATGCATTTGAAGTTTTTTATTGAAAGGTAGTTTGGCGCCCTAGGCCCCGGTGCGGCGTTCAGTCAGCAAGGCTCCTGCGAGAGTGCGCGCACAATCCCCCGGGACCTAGGCACTGGTGGCGGCATTCGGGCAGCAGGAAGAGGCATGATTGAGGCAGGGTGAGAAAAAGGAGGAGGAGGGGAGGCGGTGGTTTGCAAGGCTTCGAGAAGGCCGTAAAGTGGGAGTTTTTCCGCTTTTAAGCGGCTGGCCTGGCCGGCATAGGTTGGTTGGAAATGGGCGTTTGCTGTGCGATAGGCTGGGGATGCGAGGCCGGCCTGGAAGGGGTGGCTTTGGCTGACGTCTTCCAGAATTGAATTTCCGCGAGGCTGCATTTCTCAAATAACAAGGAATAAAACAAGGATTTCTATCGGGGCCGTTGTGAAAAAGGTGTTTGTTATAGAGTTGTTGTTGACAAAACTCCTGTCTATTCAGATATTATGGTCCCAGCTGGATTTGTCTGCATATCTGGCAACCTGTGTCAGGGACAGTGGGAGAGGTTGCAGTACTACTTTTGGCCAGATATTTACATACTTCTCCTTTAATGCTTAGAAGCTTCTTTTAATAAGACAGGGAAGGGAAGAAGAGTCTTATGAAGAACCCTGAGGTTTTTTTTTAGCATAATTCACACATGTTGCCGTCCCATCAGTCCTTTGACTTCAAACGTTTAACTTAGTTTTTTTGGCAATATTTTTTTCTGCATCCTTGATATGTGGAGAATTACCCCACCTCGTGCAGCCATTTTTGTTCAAAGAAAAAAAAAATCATGCAATCACATCATCGCAACTTTGCCTCAATCTTAACATATGATATGAACCACGTGTTTAATATCATATTATAGAGAACAGACTTGAGTTCCGTCCCCTTTATACACATTATGTGTTCACTTTAGTTTTAATGTGTTACTTACTGCTAAAGTTACAGATTTTATTTTTATTTTTGTATAGAATTATTGTTCCCTTATCTTCTGCTGTGTGCTCCTCATTCTTACCATCCTGTATCTGGTGAAGCAAGACTGAACTGTCCCCACTGTGGTACGAATATAAGGATATCCTAATCTTGCCTGATGCAATACAACAATTATCATGTTGTTGTGAAAGAAAACGATTTCCAGAACTAAAGCATGTGTGAAAGTTGCCTATGACTCTACACCTACAAGTTTCAGAGCTCCACATTTTCTCTGTTCTATTCAAATTTCGGAACAAAAAAAAAATACTCTTGCGCCTAAAGGGTTCTATTCTCTACGAGACACACATTCACAATATCGTCCACATGATCGAGTCTGGTTTCCTCCAGCTACGAATCAAAGAGAGAATCCCACAGTGCTTACCTTCAATAGCAAAGGGTTTTCCCACAGTCAGCAGTTTACAGTCTGCGTCGATGGACACCTCGTAGTCCAGGAGAGCCTTGTCCATGATGAACGCATCCAGCAGAGGGGGATCTGTCCTTCATGCACAACATACACACACACACACACACACACACACACACACACGCACGCACACACAAAACAGTTATAAAAAGTTAAAAATTCAGCCATACTTTGAATTTACCTCAGCTGCTCTATAAACTACTGCAACACATGGTCAATGGATGTAAGAAAAGATAAAGATTAGGTAAACTTTATTGATCTCAAAATGGAGAATGTAAGTAATGTTTATTTATATAGCACCTTTCACAGACCAGAGTCACAAAGCGCTTTGCAATTGCGGCTTTTTAGGAATTTCACTGTTGTATCTCACTCCACACAGAGATGGGAGCGGGGTCGCCAGAACAGGAGGCACATGCCAGACTAATCGTACATGTTTTTAGTGATAGGGGAAACCGGAGCACCCGGAGAAAACCGGAGCAGACACAGGGAGAACATGCAAACTCCAAACAGAAAGGCCTGGAGGTGGAATAGAACCCCATTATTAGTTTTACTTATGTTTAAAATGTTTGTAAATGTGCATGCATTGTAAGAATCTATCCATACCTTGCTTTAGTTATTGAACAACCTACAGAGTAACAACCCAAGCAATGCACAACGATTTACCAAATACAGAGGCAATGAGTTTTGAAATTACAGAGTGCAAGAAGAGCCATGTTCAGTGCATAATTCTTTCATACATGTTTGCACACTGGGGTCACAAACAAATGCAGTACAAATACATTTATTGCATTTAATTCTACTGTATTATAGCAATAATAACTGTAATTTGTTATGCATTCAGTTATCGGAATCATATAAGGATGAACTGTGATATGGAAATGATGTTTATATTAAAAAATTACAACCGCATAATGTTATGTATAGTTATTCACATAAATTGCTGTTGCGTACACACACACATACCTAAGCATGGACAGGTGAATGAGCAACATAATTCAATCTAAATCTATCTCTCAATTTATCAATCTTCTCAATCCTTATGCCAGAAATACAAACACTCAAATGCCAGTAAGACACAGGTGAAACTCTGAAAATATTCTGGAATGATCACATGCAAAGTGAGATTTCTGTATCTGTATTTGTTATAATGTTGATAATGGGCTCCGAGCTCGTAAAACACCCAAATAAATGGTCCACAATCATCAACATTATAACAAACAAAGGAAATGTATCAGTTTGCATGTAAGGATCATACATTTGTTTCACATTTTAACCCCATAGAACCCAGGCATAAAACAATATTTGTTGAAAAAAATAATGTACTGTGCTATTTTTAGAAAGCAGCTTTCAATAACCAAATTTACTTCTTTGAGTTCTTGGGTTCATACATTAATTAATGCATTAAACCAAAAGACATAAACTTTGGACTTTCTGTTGCATACTTAACCCCGGTGCAGTGGGGTTAAGTTAAGTTACATAAATTAAAATACACTTCTAAATTCTATGTTTTTGTGTTTTACCTGTAAGTGAGAGCTGTGAAGCAGTGCCTTCTCTGACAATGTTTAAATCCAGGTTAAAAACAGTAATGTTCAGCTGTGCATAAAACTAAATACAATAAAGGATTTTTATATATTTATTTTTCTTTTTAAATTAATGTACTGTGATTATTTATTGTATTTTTATGCTTTCTTGTTTTGTTCAGCACTTTGAGTTGCCTTGTGTATGAATTGTGCTGTACAAATAAACTTGCCTTGCCTTTTATCAATACATTAGAAGAACCTAGACCTGGCTAATGATCAGGTAATCTTAATTAAGGTTCAATAAATACTAACATTTCTCATTGAGCGGCACAATCAGGTTCAAACAACTTTTTAGTGACTGTCAAAACCAAGAAAAAACTCTCTACTATACCTCTATATACACTTTACCAATACGACATTGGCACCTATGGCTTCTACATCTTCAATCTTCTGGCGTAGTACACATTTTTAATTCCTTTAATTCAAATGAAAAACAAATCAGAAATGACTTGCTCTGAAACACACAGTCTGGCTCTCCACCTGTCCATTACACCTGGGATTAGATTAGCAGCGTTCTCCGACCAGCGTAAACACATACATCATTATGTGTTGGCCAACCGTCTCTGCTTCTCACTGATAAGACACGGACACAGCAGCCCGGACTCTCCCGCCTGAGCATCCATTGATCTAATTGACCCTCATTGACCCCAAATAATAGAGTAGCCCGCTGTGTGCTGACCAAGGCTAACTTTTTTGGATACTAAGCACATACTGGACGGAAATATATCAAGACCTCATTGTTATCAGAAAAGGGGTCTAATGGTTGAACACGCAGATTTTAAATAATTCCTACGCACCTGGACCTGAGTTTCAGCTGGATGAGTAAGGATTAAACAACATGGAGAAGTGCGGTGGTATCTTTTGAATCCTACAACAACACTGCTTTGTTGTTACTTTGGCTAAAACACTCACACATTCACAACATTTGACAGAACTTATGTATTTTGTCCTGTCCAGAGACTACTTTTTAAAGCCAAAAGCCATGCAAAAGCTCCTTAGCAACAGTTGTTATGACCAAAATGAAGACACACACATAGGATAAAAAAACAGATTTTTGGACAATGATACATATTTAGTAGGGCTGTCAAAATTATCGCGTTAAAGCACGTTAATTAATTTTTTTTATTAATCGCGTTAAAAAAATTAACGCATTTGACGCATGCCCATGCGTCCCATAATAACACTCAGAATGCCGCGGACACATGCGCCTGTGTAAGATGGGGACAGAGCAGGTAGGCCCTCTGGGAATTCAAGTTTTGAAAGAATACACGCGTGACCGCGGGGCACTTGTTGTTTCCTGTATGAACTCTGCATGATGAGCTGCGGGCGCCACAGCGCTCTGGACAGGTCCCACTTCCAGCGGCTGTGATCACGGCGAACGGCGCTGCGTAATGGGATCATATCCAAGACCACGCACAGAACTATTACAGAACTATTCTCTAGTGTGCGTACGTGTCTTTGCGTAACCGATGCACACAATATGTACAGCGCTGAAGCTGGACTGCGGAGTGTCTCCTCCGTGTCTTCTCCCGAAGCGCACTCGCTAAATTAAAGCTGAGGTACCTAATTTTCCTTTCGACTACCAGTTCATGTTAGTTGTGCCAAAAAAGTAATGGTGTGAGCAAATCAAACAGATTTAATGACATTCTGCATTTCAGACTGTTTTGAAATGTCCCTCATCTGTAACAAACAATGGTTTTGGTCTGAGTCTAAACAGAAAGACAGAATGTTAATAATTTTAATGCCATTTTATATGGATTTATTGTTATAACAGACAAAAACAGTTCATATGTTCACTAAGCTGTCATTTATCTTTCCATTCAAACAACAATTTACAGAAAAATATGGCATAATTTTGCCAATAGTTTGAAATGCGATTAATTACGATTAATTAATTTTTAAGCTGTAATTAACTCGATTAAAAAATTTAATCGTTTGACAGCCCTAATATTTAGTAAGTTAATACAACATCCTGCTGAATGAGAAACATTTAAGACTTTATCATACAAGCTATAAGTTAACTGTTAGATGCTGTGTTACCATGGTGATGCCAATGGTGGAGTGATATATGACACTTGTAATTTAACATGAGGTTTAAGTAACAACTGAGCCATGCAGTTGTATGGTTTAAACGCAAAATGCAGAGTCTAGATCGGCACGAGGCGCAGATTGTGTTTAAATCATACAACCGCACTGCTCTGAGTTGTTTAATCTGGTTATACCATGGTCAAAACACTATCACATAACTGAGAGCACACATTTAGCAAATGAATTGAACTTCCTACTTTGCAAACAAACTTTGATTGTATCTTTATGACGCAAACTGTAAATTGACTCTGCTCAATCTTTATGTTTCTATGGTTACGCCTCAGTGGTATGAATCCTGCTATCTAACATGAGCATTAATAAACAGTATTAAACAAAAGTCGTTGATTAATGCTGATTAATAGAAAAACAGGATGATGGGTATAGAGCACACAGATCAAATTGCCTTGGTTTGTTTGTTCAGGACATTAGCGGCTAAACAAAAGGTTGACTTTTCAAAGACTTTGGATGCTGGCAATGCACAAATTCTGTTTATCCCCCGTCAAAGGGCTGTCGGATGTCAGCACTGGGGCGTCGAAAGCAGAGATGTGTTGTTTTAAAGCGGGAGATACCTGCCATTATGTCCACCTGCTGCCCATAGGAACAAGGTGCAGCTGTGATCTGTAACCTTGTGTGTAGCATCCGCTTGAGCATGCATTATTTCCTCTGACCGGAAACATTGGTGTGCAGAAGTGTGCGTGCCCCCCAGCTCCCTGCCTCTCCAGGAGAAGACTTGAAAGATGTATTTTTTTTCTTTCCAATGAATCTCATGTCCTCCTGTGTGGGATGTTTGATGCCCTGAACTGCTTTTGCCCAAGTCTTTGCTTTGTCTTTTGCGTGTGTGTGTGTGTGTGTGTGTGTGTGTAGTGTAGGTGTGTGCATGTGTGTGTGTGTATGTGTAGTGTAGGTGTGTGTCTGTGTGTAATGTGTGTGTCTGTGTGAGGGAGAGTATATGTGTTTTAGTCATAATTTATTAGCACATACAGTATGATATCAAATTCTATTAGTGTGTGATCCACTAAAGTATTCTTCCCTGCAAGGACATTGTAAGTATGCTAAGTGTGCGCAAACAGATAAAAGAGGGTACACAAAGCAAGGAACAGTCTTTCTTGCAAGTATTTTGTTACCCTTCAACAACAAATGCTCATTATGCACACTTTTCAATTTAATGTGTCATCTGTTCCTCTAACAATATTTTTGTGTGGGTTTCACTTAGAACCGAGTCCCACTATGCGTGATCAATGTGATGGCACGTTTGGGAGTGTTTATCCCGATCTTATTATTGTATATTGACATGTTAAATGGCATTGGCCTTAAGGCCTGAAGGTTGTGGGTTCAATTCCCACCTCTGCACCTTCTCCACCGACTCCCACTGATGACTGCTGTCGTTGTGTCCTTGGGCAAGACAC